ATTGCAGTAGATATGTGCATGTGTATGTCTCAAGGGGTCATCATTAGTCAAGGTTGACTCAAGGGCAGATGACAACAATATGTATATGTTACCTTTGGTTCAACAGCTGTAGAAATTTATGTCATCTTATACAAAGACGTTGCCAGTTGTAGGATTAAAGCACCAGACTGTACCCTGACACTGTATTGTGTGAAGTGATATCAAAGATGGAATTCAAGTGAATGTAACAGAGAGCAACAAACAAACTAGGGGCAAATGCCAGAAACACACAATTGTATGAAGTGTTCCAGGCTGTGTAGCTATCACTCTTTGTGTCCTCAGTAGACATAATTGCTCCAACAACCATTTTCTAAGAGATTCCTATCCACTGTCAGCTTCATGTCAAGACCTTTCTTCCCAGATGTTTTGTTAGATTACTGTATAAATGCTTTGTAATAAATGGTTCCCAAAAGAGGACTGATGTGAAGCTGTGGGAATCCTTTTCGATTGACTGCACACATTAACTGCATTTCTATTCTTATATGTGGCATTTTATTCTTTATTGTCTAAAATGATCATCAAGGGCCAGAGAATTCTAAGTTCACCGATCTTAAACCTTATTTTGAGGGATTACTCAGAATGTGGTGGCTTTGTTGCTAACAGGCTTTCTATAGATTGTGAGATATTATACTAGGTAGGCCCATAAAAGGATATTTAGTGTTTGTTTTGTGTTTGCCAAGAAAAGGTTGTGAGGCAAGGAAAATATGATTATAGTGTTTGACACTTGTAGAGGGAACAATCATTCTCAGGTAAATAGCATGCCCTTAAACCTTTTGTACAATGCTGTGAAGAAGCTGATTAACCAACGAAAGGATTGTGAACAGCATTTCTCTGCTTGTCTAATACTTGCCTCAGTTACTGTATTTTTTTCCTCTTTAACCTTCTCATTTTGCCAGTGATATTCATTATATTGTAGTGAATTTCTTTCTACACAAAATGTTTAATGACAGTTATAAAATGCACAGATTTTTACAAACCAATGGGCTCCAGTATCTAATCTGAATTAACTAGCATTTCAGCGTCACAAATATTTTGGACATCCCCTCCTGCTGAAAGGCCTATTGCACTTATGGCCCAGTTAGATATGATATAGGATGTCTGTGAATAGATTTTTATGTTTTTAAAGTGTTAGTTTCTACTGTGAGGTGAGCAATTCAGAGCACCAAGCAATTCAGAATACCAAGGCGGTGTTATAACTTTGTGTGTTTGAGGGATTGACAGTATATTCAAGGGACAGGAAATTCAGCACAGTGCTGAGGACATTAAAATCTTGCCCTGACCAAAGACTGTTTTGATCTGATCTGCTTTACAGGACAAAACATAGAGAAACATGATGGACATTTCTCAAATAACAATATCTGCTTTGATATGAAATATGAGTTTCATGTCACTTAAGTATGTTGTCAATCTCTTAAACACATAGAGTTGTCACAATGCCTTGGTATTTTGGGAGACTATAAAATTGTTGGATTAACACTAGAGTGCAAATGGGGAGAAAACACTCCCCTCCTGATAAGCTTCATTGAACATATATGAGAGACTGGCTTAGGGCAGTGCTACTCAAATTGGCGGTCCCTGGACTAGTGCCAGATCCTGAGCTGTCCGTTCCTGACAAGTTTTCAGGAAAATAAGAAACAAGATGGGCACTGATTAGGTGCCAGTTCCCTGGCTACTAGAAAACAAGAATTGCCAGTATCCCACATCAGATAACCCAAAAAGCACTGCCTTAAAGTATACTTGATAGCAGTGCTGGCAGCAAAGAAATATTTTTTGATTGGTGAAAAGCCTTTGCTCTGTGAAATCAAGGGAAGTAATAGTGCCACTGTATTCTGCTTTGGCTAGGCCCCACCTGGAATACTATGTCCAGTTCTGGGCATCACAATTCAAAAAGGAT